ATGAGCGAGTTCATGAATGAATTCGCCGAGGTATGCGGTGCGCGCTAGAGCACTATATAGCTCCTACGGAGCAGAGTAGCGCAATCCTTTGAACCCCGTGTTTTGCCGACAACATGGCCGACAGAGCGGCTCGGCGCGAGTCACGTGGTACTCAGGGTTCCAGGAGGCGGCCCGCCCTATGGGAGAATACATGGAGATCGACACAACACGGCTGATTAAAAAATGAACGGCGAGTTCACACTTTTCAAAACTAGTCTGTCGTGAAGTTAGTAAAGCACTAAACCATTTATCAAAGTTTTAATAATATCGGACTGTGCGTGTGCAAATTTTGAGAAGGCAATTTCCAAGGCAATGGCGTTTGAAGCAGACGATTTTTGCTCGCAGCGGAGATGGGCTTTTCGGGTTGGCCGGAGCGGGTCACGTGAATGGTGTGACGTCGCCGTGTCGTCTGCTGCATGATGCCGCTCAGGCAATTTTTTACAAAAAGTCACGTCCTTGCGGGGCACAAAACTTAGCACAAATTAGTCTAAAATGTTCCATTATTATGTCAAAAATAATTGCCATTCCGTACAACCCCACAATACTGAAGAAACAACGATTTTCTCACGTTCTCCATGCATTTCTGACCACAGTTGGAACCTCCGGGCGTTCGCCGCTAGTCGCCGAGAGGCGGCGTTCTAGATTGCGCTACTCTGCTCCGAAGGAGCTATATAGTGCTCTAGTGCACGCCAGTAATACCTTCAACTTGAGCACAGGCATGAAATGCTCCAAATAAGAAATCAGGGCGATGTTCGAAAACACAAATGCTTTGAAAGCACCACTGTAGTCAAAGTAAACAAACACGACGACACGGGCGTTTCTGCTGTCTTCAGAGTGCAACCACGACATCGCCGCACAAGTAGGTGGATCTTCCCTTCTAGTACGTGCTGGTAGCGACAAACAACGAAAATTCACAGTCAAGGATAGCGCTTTTACGCGGAACAATGAGCTTCCACCACGCCGGCTACGTCGACGATTACAACCGACGCCATGTTTCCGGATAGAAGCAGCCGGCCCGCGACCGGCATGCAACGCGCACAAACACTTCTCCTCGACCTGCGATTGGTGTGTCGTTGCGGTTGTTTCCAACGTTTCCAACGCAGCGGAGGGACGCACGCACAAGAACGACACGTGCGTGCGTCCCTCCGTCGCTATGGCAACTGAAGCCTCTCTCTTCGCTTCTTTCCGCTTCTTCGAGCAACCTCTTTGCCCCGCGAGTGCCGCTTGCGGCTCACGCCGTTATCTAGTATCGCACAGGAAAGCGTGCTCTGCGTCGGTCAGTCGGCGCGGTCGCCGGGCTGTTCCGAAAACCGCACTATAACCGCTATTTCCCTTCGCGCACCTGCATTTTAAGCGGTATGTAATCACATGGAGTTCTATGGGAGGCGAACCGGTGGTTTAAGAAAGCCGCGTTATACCCGGTCCTGCACTATAAGCGGTTACGTTCTAAGTGGTCTATACTGTAGTTTTATTGGTAGTTCGTTATATCTGGACTTCCCTTTAAAATGTTGTAAATAAAGATAATGCAGCTGGTATTGGTAGTTTCACTCTGCCAGCTCTTTATTTAAAGAACTGTTTGTACGATTCTAACGCGCCCCCAATTGTAACGCCAAGGCAGATTTAGCTTTCAGATAATGAAAAAGGGAATTGCTGCCGATTCTACCGCGCAAGTAAACTAATGAAGGTTGACCACATACCTCATAGAACAGATTTTATGAAACGCACGCCACCACAAAAATAAATGCCGTGCACTAGTCCGACGATGGTTCTTCGCTGTCCACGGAGGTAATTAGTACTTGCTTTGGTCTAAAGCGTTTTAAGTGCCGCGCTTTCTGCGCATGTACGAGCGCGCGGCCGTCGCCTCTGGCAGGGTCGTCTTTCAAACAACACTCTGCGAGCTCGTCGGGTGGCTGGGATTGCGAGCCACGCAGTGCTGCTCCGTTGTCATCTTTTCCGCCAGCGTGATACCCTTTCGTTTAAATAAAGCCTCTTAGTGGATTTTTTGTTTTTCCCCCCATATGACAGACACGAGTCTATAGACGCGAGAGAATGTGCATGATAGAGCAGTATATAGCTCCTTCGGAGCAGAGTAGCGCAATTCTGAACGCCATCTCTCGGCAACTAGCGGCGAACGCCCGGGTTTTCCAACTCTCGTCACAAATGCATGGGGAACGTGAGAAAATCGCGGTTTCGTGATTATTTTGGGGATGTACGGAACGACAACAGTTTTTGACATAATAAAGCAACAGTTTACAAAAAATTGCGGTGGCTTAGCTCGGCTATGCCAGGATATACATAGCGTGAGCATATGCGCACAAAATGAGAGACGCTTGGCTCCGGTGCAGCGTCAGACTTGGCTACTGCGCAACGGAGGCGCACAGCTGGGCACGCTGCGGCGCCAGTGCGTCTGCCGCGGCTATGACGTCACTCCTCTGGAATGCGCTGACCGGCGAGGCGGGCGAGGCAAGCCCGCCGGCGGCTTCGCGTGGCTTTCATAATGAACCGCGCTCATTATGCGAGCCGTGCTCATTATGTAAAACGCGTGGTGGCTGAGCTGCCACCGCCGCGCGCTCATTGCGTGCTCATTATGCGGAGCTCCGCCGCCGCGCGCTCCACATAATGAGCATGGCTCGCATAATGAGCACGGCTCATTATGAGGGCCACGCAAAACTGCGCAACCTTGGCCAGTGTAGCTAACGCTACAATAATTTGCACTAAGTTGTGTGCCACGTAATAACGTAATTTGTTTTCAAAATTGCCTGAGCTGCATCATGCAGCAGACAACGCGGCAACGTCACACCGTTCACGTGACCCGTTCTGGCCAATCCCCATAAAGTCCATCTCCGCTGCGCAAAACAATCGTCTGCTTCAAACTCCATTGCCTCGGAAATTGCCTTCTCAAACTTTTCGCACGCATGCAATATTATTAAAACTTTGATACAGTGTTTAGTGCTTTAGCAACTTCACGACAGACCAGTTTTGGGAAGTATAAACTCTGCGTTTATTTTTTAATCAGCCGCGTTGAGTCGATCTCCATGTATTCTCCCATAGGGCGGGCCGCCTCCTGAAACCCTGAGTATCACTTGACTCGCGCCGAGCTGCTCTGTCGGCCCTGTTGTCGGCGAAACATGCGGATCAAAGGATTGCGCTACTCTGCTCCGTAGGAGCTGTATACTGCTCTAGTGCACGATACCGAAATGGCAGGCGTAACAAATGGTCACGATGGCGATGGGGCTAGCCAACTTGTACCGAGCATTGAGCTCTTCTTGAGTTGCATACAGTTTGCAAACATAGAACGAACGAATGCAGCACGGCATGGGAGTTGACTTTCTCCTACTTCCGGCACACGCACAATCGGCAGGCTACGCGACTTGGGAGGGCGTTTTTGCTTTTGTAGTTTTGTTTTCTTCCCTGCCGTGATGCTGTGAAAATGACCTTGAGCATCTTGCGGACCACAACGCCCAAAATGTAGATCTCTTGATCTCTTCTTTTTTTTTGTTTTTATTGCGCGTAAGAATTTTTTCTTTTCTTTTTTTTGATAGCAGACTTTGTGTGTGCTGTAACAGTATGATGCTTTTAAAAACGTTCGTTTTATCTGGATCAATTTTAATGGGTAGGGTTTTCAATTCGTAATTTTCTGAAAGTTGGTCGTGATAACTGATAGTGTGTTATATGTGGGATCGTTATAAGTGGGTTTGACTGTATTTAATCGAACAGACCTCGGTTAGGAACATCCCGCGGCAGCTTTACCGAGTAAAAGAATATTTAAGTGGAGTTTGCCGATAATTTCATTGGGGCATCGATTCTCCTCAAACTGTTCCAGGCGTCGCAAGAACACCGTCACTGCCGCTGCATTCCACTTTGTTTCGGAGTAGCCGTAATACGTTTCGCATCTCCACAGTCGTGGGCGTTTCCAGAGTTACCTCTCCGACGTCACTTTGTATTTACCCTGGCCGCACGCAAGGTCTACGATCGCAGCATTCGTGGCACGAGCAACAAAGGGAACGTCCCCATCGACAAGCGCGAACGAATCGGAGTTTTCCTCGGTGGCTTTGCCAACACGTCTTCACACACTCCCGTAGAGATCGTTGCAAATGTGGAAATGTAGCGCCGGCTCGGCAAGCACGTTTGCGAGAGAAAATCGGAGGTGCGCGGAGCAGTTGGCGATCTTCCATCTTGGGGTTGCTCCTCGGTGGGGAACTGCTCAAACCCGTCCAGTATGCCTCGCTTGTTCTTTATGCAAAAGGGTGGACAGTGACGAACAGCCGATGCCAGAATGTCAAGTTCTTTGGTGCTTTCGGACTTGAGGCGGCCACTTTTCTCAACCTCGCGGATCTAAGGGACTTTCGGTAAACAGTCCCAATCTCCCGTAGGACGCACATGCGCGTGGAAAACACCGCAGGCGCGCGCGTCGGGGGCTCCCGAAGGGGATGATCTCCTCCGGGCTCCTTCGCTCCCTCGACCCGATTCCGACAGGAGTCGGGCATCGTCGGCCGCAGGCGCCCCAAGTGGCGTTAGAACCTTAACTCTGCTCCCTGCCCACGTCGGCGCATCGGCAACGGTGCTCTGCGTGCTCTGCCCTCCGTCACACATTTCCTCTGTTTTCTTGTTTGCCCGTTTTCCTGGCTGGAGAAGGGGAGGGAACGCGAGGGTCTCCCGTGCACCTTTTGTAGGCTCGCATTCTTTCAGCATCGCAGCCTTCGTAATGAGCGTGGTCGGCCGCCGATACACTTCGAATGATCCGATTAAAAAATGTGTGCATTTCGGTTAGGACCGCGTTTCACTTTGATAAAATAAATTGGAAAAAAGCGATTTCGTTACAATGAGGGATTACTCTAGTTTTAGTGACAGGACGAATGGGGAGGGTGGCGGGGAAGGCAGGCACGTGGCTGGCACCTTGATCCAGCCGCTGCAGGTCGGGTGGCCGGACGGGTGCTCAGGGTGTCTCGGTGTGTGGGCAGCCCAGATGGTGGCCTGGGGGTGAGCGTGTGTGCACCGGGAGGCGCCATCACCTCGGTGGCCAACTGGACGCTGCGGGGAAGCCAGCTGCTCAACGGGACCTCCATGAGCTCGCCGCACGTCGCGGGTGCCATTGGTGAGCTGCAGCTGGCCTCGGTGGGCATCGCCCGGACGCTCGGCCGGTCTTTTGCGCTCTTCCATCTCGAGACTCCTGCTGTCGGCTGTGTGGCAGGTAAGGACGGTCATGCTGGTGTCCATTTTTTGGTTTCAATTATATTTTTATGCGAGGTAGCGAAACCTGTCCACACAACGGGACAGACCTTTTTTTTTTGCTAGATACTTCCTTGTATTTGTGAGAAAAATCACATTCGAAAGAAGGTTGAAACAACGATTCTCCCAATTGCGCGATGAAACAACTTTGAAGGCCGGAGGAGTAAATAATGGAGCCTTGTACACCGTCAAAATTTTCATGTTTAATGCAGGCTTACTTTACTGCCGGACTTGGTTGAAGATATCTTATATGAGCACATATTTAAAGCAAAATAAAAGGACAAACTTGGCTTCTTGAACAATTCCTACATAATGTAACCGTTATTTGGCAAATTTTTAAGTATGAAACTTTTTGTGTCGAGTGTATAATGCTTTGTGAATTTTTGGCAAATTCATTAGCGTTCTACCGTTGAAAATGTTTTCTCCGTTGCACCCGGAAAGTTCGTCAAAATCGAAAAAGCCAAAATTTTTCAATTTTCGTGCGGCAATTAAAAAAAATGATCATTCTCGATTTTCTTTAAATTTCACCCGATGGGCCCTTGGTGACCGATAATTACAAATCTGCAGAAACATGTTGCATTATTTTGTTTTAAAACAAACAAAAAAGATGTGTAACCAGGTCGTGGTTGCATCAATTACCGCTGGGGCGTTTCTGTCTTAACGACGAGTGGTAGACGAGCGACGCGTGCCACAGTATCCGTACTTGGTCCTATTAATGCCCAGGCACCACGAAGCATTCTAGAAATAACACGTGAACTTGGTTTTATCGCTGATGTGGCTGATATTGCCAATGAAAACTGAACGTTGCAGCGCGTCCGATCTATATTAGGGTGTTAAACTTAGATATAGTAACTGGCTGACAAAATAATTTTATTTGTATTTCTAAGCACCGCTAGAAAGCTTGCTGACAAAATAGTTTGATTCTTTTCTCTAGGCATCGCTTGGAGCGAGCGACATTGCGGAAGCTTCAGACCCGACCAATGGCGGGCGTGTCTAGGGCGGAACGATAACAGGTTATATCTCGAAAAACAATGGGGAATGAGTGGACGTCAAGGTTGATTTAGGGGGGATTTAGGTAGCGTAAGCGGTTCAGCGTCACAGGCAACAGCCAAGTGTGCTCCAACAGGATTTCTCGCGACGCCTCATCCGCGATCAGAAAAGTCACGATCTGTGACTGGGTTAAAGGAACAATGAAGGCGATTTTATATAATTTTTTAAACGGTGTTTTAGGCTTCTTGGGAGCCTAGCACGCTGCCCAATTTTTTGTAGACATTTGTGACACGTATTTCTGTGCCTACGAAAGAACTGAAGAAACCGAAACTGAACTATCTCCATTCTCATTTTTGGGCCTCCGTAAACGGAGGTGACGTAGGGAGTGACGTCAAGTGTGAATAGTCGGTATCGGTAGCATTTAGGAGATCGAGACTGGTTACCGCGGTGGGTTATAGCACCGCGGTGGCACGATCGTTTCGTCGGATCTGACAACATGGACGACAATGCCGCTTTCACGAGCGAGTTCGGTTTGGGCTTCCGTTCAGTGACCTAACACCAACTGAATGGGAGTATGTGTGTGGCCTTCTTCGCTATCACCCGAGGCCGACGGTGACCGCCCAGCCGGCAACGAGCGGCCCGCTGACTCCGAGCTGCAAAGCCGTGAGCAACATCCGCGCGGGCGAGACGAGAGTGGCGCGTTGCCGAAAGACAGGCCCTGTCTGACAGGGACGCGGGGGAAAGGCCGAAGAGAAAGCGGCAGTGCCCCGGGAACCGGTTCCTCCACGGGGGACGCTCCCCAAGGAGGAGAAAGGAACACCACAACTTTTCAATAGTTCAATAGTTCTTTATTGCACTCGAGGGAGTTCACACCAGGCGTGCAGGCGACAAGGAAAGGCAGGGAGCCCATGCACAGTGTGTGCCCTTGCCACCCACCTGGAGGCGAATGGTAGATACAGTATATACAATATATACATACACATATAGACACATACATACACACACATATACCTGTATATATATTAAAAAGGGGAAGGGAGGGTTGCACAGATTTAGAGGGTAAAATCCGCCAGACAAGAACGCCCAGCACCGACAGCTCCCCGCCAACGAATATCGGCCACGAGTATCGGCAACGAATATCGGACACGAGTGCCGCATCATCACGCCGGGTGGACACGAGTCCCAGCCTAACACCGACACAACACCCACATCCGATCAGCAGCCCACGCCAACCAACACCCAACAACGAGAAAAAAAAAAAAAAAAAAGTCGGACGTCCACTCATTTTGTTGTCAAAGAACAAGAACGATTACTGGTCTTCAGTCGACCGTTTGAACAGCCATCTACGGCGCACAAATTTGGCATGACTACCACTTTGCAGAATCCTTTGAGTACCGTGTTCCTAAAGCAAACACGACACTGACGTTTCCAGCATGCTCCGCGCTGTGTTCTTTTTAGAGCGCAGCTCTTAGGCGCCCGTTTCCGGCTTAAGCGGCATCGGCGTAACCTTGGGTGCATTATAGGTAAATTTCCGCGCTAAATCTAGCGGAAAAATTTCCCCGCTAAATCTAGCAAAAAAATTTCCCCGCTAAATCTAGCGGAAAAATTTCCCCGATAAATCTAACAGAGAAATTTCCCCGCTAAATCTAGCGGAAAAATTTCCCCGCTAAATCTAGCGGAAAAATTTCCCCGATAAATCTAACAGAAAAATTTCCCCGCTAAATCTAGCGGAAAAATTTCCCCGCTAAATCTAGCAAAAAAATTTCCCCGCTAAATCTAGCGGAAAAATTTCCCCGATAAATCTGCCAGAAAAATTTCCCCGCTAAATCTAGCGGAAAAATTTCGCCGCTAAATCTAGCAAAAAAGTTTCCCCGCTAAATCTAGCGGAAAAATTTCCCCGATAAATCTGACAGAAAAATTTCCCCGCTAAATCTAGCGGAAAAATTCCCCGCTAAATCTAGCGGGGAAATTTTGGTCACGTGACCGGGGGGGGGTCACGTGACCTGGGGAGTCGCGTGACCCCTCCCCCTAGGTCACGTGACACCCCCCGGTCACGTGACCCTTTCCCCGATGTCACGTGACCCCCCCCCCCCCTGAGGTCACGTGACCCCCTCCCCCGAGGTCAGGTGACCCACCGGAGCATATTAAAGAATGAGGGGAGGAGGAGGAGGGGTCTACCCTCCCCTCAGTACCCTTCCCTCCTCCTCCTCAAGAGCTGCCCTCCAATGCGGCGTTACAGGGAGTTGTAAACGGCTTTCACTTTTTTTTATTTTGTTTGCCCATAGTTGCTCGTTGCCCGTTTCGCGCCCAGCGCAGCAAAGAAAAAAAATAAGTATGCTGTTTTATTTATGGTTTAGTAATCATCTCCGGTCCAATTTATACTTTTCATGTTTATCCAAGCGGAGATTAGAACAGTATTCCTAAAAATCGCGAACTGAAACGTGACCGAGGGCACGTCTCTCGTTTCGACCAATCGCTGACACGTCTCTTGTGACGTCGCGCTTCTTGGCCCCGCAACGGCCACGTGAGCTCCGCTTCTCCTGGCTTTTCCCGCAGTGGCCACGTGAGCTCCGCTTCTCCTGGCTTTTCCCGCAACTCTCGGTGCGTCGCCCCAGTCGATCCCGGTACGGTTATTACCGCGACTGTTGCATTGATTTGCGCGGGACACAAGCACCGGTTTCGGCTGAAATTTGGGCAACGTGGCCCGAGACGTGCCTGGAACCCAGTTCAATCGTCAGAAAAATATCCGAAATTGCCTTCATTGTCCCTTTAAAGAGAGTTATTGATCTGGGGAAATATTTTTATGAAATTCTAAGAGTGTCATAGAGTGCAAAAACCTTCGGATGTTTATTTGAAATTAGAACGCTCTTGGTGTGAATCGGCCAGTGCCGCCACCGAATGCCATCAGCCGTCACTCGCGCGCAGGTTCGTGGGTCACTATAAGCAGAAAAGAAAGAAAGAAGTGCCGATCAGTCGACTGGCCCACACCGCGACGAGGTCTCGCCAATAAAGAGGACTTAACGCAAGCTTTAGAAAAGTGGGAGTTTAACGAAAACCATGATTTATATAGAAACAGAAATAATATAATGGGGCTCACAAGTACCGAAACGTGGCAATAAATAGTCTTAGCACTTGACCCTGCCGGTGCATGGGCGGCAAAATGCAAAAACACCCGGTGAATACACGGGAGAAAAACGATTACTAGACGATTGCAAGCTGAACTCCTCAACTCCTGAATTTCTACCAACCAGATTGCAATCCTGAGGAGCCAGCGGGTGGAGGGAGTCTGTCCTGGAGTGACGGCCTCTTTTGTGTCATTGTCTAAAGGGTGGTGGACTCCACGGTGGGCTAGTGGGCAGCTCCATGAGGCCAGCCACCATCGCTTTTCCCAAGCTCGATCCGCTTTTTCCCCGATCGAATATCACGGCTCCCATTCCAGATGAGACTTTGTGTTCACACATGTCGCATTTCGTGCGAGACGGGGCCTGCCACTCATTTTGGTGGCAAGTCTGCATCGAGAAACACTGGTCTTCCTCCGCCGTCTTCTGTTATGCTCCGGCTCGGAGTCCAGCTACGCCGTACGTTACAATGCAGTAATATAGCACCGGCTTGACCTTCCGTTCACGCCACGTCCTTTATCAGTCGGGCCAAAGGCTTCCGTAATATCGCTCGGTCCTAGCAATTCCTGGAACGACGAATCAAATTATTTTGTCAGCCAAGTACTAATATGAAAGTACTAATCCGAAAAGGTAGTACGATGAGCATCAAACCAGCCAAGTATAACATCCTAATAGGCATCAGACGCCCCGTAAAGTTCAGTCTTCGGTGGCAATATCAGCCACATCAGCGATGAAACCAAGTTCACGTGTTATTTCT